GGAGGAGTGTTGTACCCATCACCTTTCTCAGGGCCAAACGTAGTTTTCTCACAGAAGCTCATCAGAAGGCCCGAGCTGACTATGGCAGAGGGGATCCTGAGATCACAAAGCTGGCTAAATCTGCCTGCCCTGGACATATGCTCGTGTCCCATTGAAGAAGATGCAGACCAGACTTGGAAGGGGCCTCGGCAACAGATGTGGGAGGAGTGTTGTACCCATCACCTTTCTCAGGGCCAAACGTAGTTTTCTCACAGAAGCTCATCAGAAGGCCCGAGCTGACTATGGCAGAGGGGATCCTGAGATCACAAAGCTGGCTAAATCTGCCTGCCCTGGACATATGCTCGTGTCCCATTGAAGAAGATGCAGACCAGACTTGGAAGGGGCCTCGGCAACAGATGTGCATTGGCGGCAAAGAATAACAGCGCTTGTAATGGTCACAGGAACAATCAATTATTTATCCGGGTTTGACTCATTCTCTCTGGGCAACATTTAAGTTGTGCCATGAGCTCACTCATCGCATCAAATGTTAATGGCAGGTCTCCGGAGAGAGGGCTGTGTTTCCATGATGCTGCTGATTGGCCAGCAAGGGTCAGTTTTAACCTAAGAGCCAGGGCAAGGGAGCATTTCCCCATGGCAATAAACCATCTCGAAGCAGCAGGAACATTTGTGCTTCTCCCCTGGGAGGATGTGTGAGCGGTTAGGACCAAAGGCATAGGGCTGCTTGCTGGCAAGAAACACTCAGCTCTCTTCACGGGGGCTTTTGGAAGCGGAGATTTCATATGCTCTTCAGGAGCCAGATTGAACTGGGTCACATTGTTGGCAGGGAGGATGTCTCATGATGCTGAGAACGTCCTAACACAAAACCCAGGCAGAGTCATTCCCAGTTAAAATGGGGCAAATTTCAAAGGAGACGCTACAACAGGGAGAGCGGAGTTTCCTCTAACATTTTCCATCCACATACAGAATTAATTTTGTCATGTGCACCAAAGCATGTGTAGAAGTGCACCACCCGTAGAAAGACATGCTGCTGGCTGTGGGCACTCTTCTAATCAGCTGGGAGGCCTCTAAATCATTCCTGGGTGGCCGCCCAAGTGCTCAGCTTACAGGGAATGCTGCCAAGAGGGAACATCAGGTTAGATGGGACAATAAGACTCAGCCTGATTCCCTCATCTCATGGGGCTTCTTTTGTTTCCCATCCTCTTTATTCAATGGAAGTTTATCATTGGATCCTGACCAAATCGATGATGGGCTTGCATTTTTCAGGCTGCATTCTCAATGTTTTGAAGTTACATTTGGCCAGAGGGCAGCAGCTCTGGTAAAGTTTGGCTGGGGGAGCGAAGGGGGGGGGGCTCTGATTTGTTTGACAGGCTGCTACAAAGCAGGATTTCACCAAAGATAAGATACTTTGGGTTAGCTCAGGAACAGGGAAGCTAAGGGATTTCCCATTATCTCTCCTTTCTGATAACTCTTGTGTAGGGCAAATCCGTGCCTGTTGACACCCACTGGAACAGCCTCCCCTCATCTTACTTCATCATAATTCTGCCCCATTTCCCCTGTTGTCCACATGCTGGTTTGGCCAAGGCTCCATCCATACTGCAATGTCACTCCCAGTAACTCTGCCAGGTGCTTCACCACCTGGCAGATCTAAAGCTGGAGCCAGGGAACACTCCTGCCTGAAATGCTCCTGGCCTGCTGACCCACGAAGAAGTGAGAGGGAAACAGGAGACTGGGACAAAGGGGGCAGCCTGGAAATGGGGGCTGGGAGGTCAGGGTTTGAGCAACCAGTTTCTCCCAGGCTGGAGCCGTTTGGTCTGTAATGCCTGGTAATTTTTCTCGCAAAGAATTCCACGGTGCGTGTCCGCTGATTTTGACACTTTTATCGTCGGACCCTGGGCCAGACCCACCCTTCAGGAATCCCATGCCTGCTGGGCTGCCCTGAAAGGCAAAGTCTCCTACTTCTCTTTAGAAGGGGCAGCTTCCTGCATGCGCTACCCCTTGCCAACCTGGAGAGAAGAGCGGGTTGATCTGGGTGGGGGCTTCGGTCTTCTTGCTGATCCAGCCCAGGGAGAAACAGTGTGTGGCAGACTCATGGCCGCAAGGGCTGAGCCCACTAGCCACATAAACAGGCTTTATGACCCTGACTAGCAGATGGAAGCCAGCGCGGGAGCAAGCTGTGTAACCAGTGACTCTTGTTGCCACCAGTCCCCCTGGACCGTCGTGCTCTGCGACATGCATGTTAATCCGCGGGTGTCTCTCTTCCCTTTCCAGTCAGTTCCGAGGTGAGTCAGGGCTGTGCGAAGGGCTGCGACCTGTGCTCCGAGTTCAACGGGTGCCTGAAATGTTCCCCCAAACTCTTCATCCTGCTGGAGAGGAATGACATCCGACAGATCGGGATCTGCCTTCCCTCCTGTCCACTGGGCTACTTCGGCGTTCGCAATCCAGACATGAACAAGTGCATCAGTAAGTGCCAGGGCCTGGGGGAGAGAAAGCTACAAAATCATATTCTGCTCTATGGGCCCTCTCATCCAAGGCCTGCAGTGAGTTAACCCTTGCCTGCCCCTGGGAGGTGGAGACATGGTAATATCCCCATTATATGGATCAGGAGACTAAGGCACAGAGAGGGAAAGTGACTTGCCCAGAGAATACCCACATAAAGGGATCCCTCTCTGATTGGCTTCTTGTAGCCCTGGATAAGGCATGAGAACAGAAAAGAGATTTATCTCATGTTGGACCTGAGATGGGAATGTAATTCTCTCCCCTGCAGAGGTGGCTGCGTTTCCACCCACAAATGCAATGTCCCACAGGGGATCATTTCAAACAGATTAGAAAGCAGCAGCATGCCTGGGGAGCCTTACGGTCTCCTAGTGCCCCCGGATGGCTCTTGACAAGCCGGGGTCAGTAGAAGCAGTGAAATGAGTTGACCTAGAGCTGGAAACAGCACACACAGACTATTAGGCCTCTGTTAGTTTGGACATCTGCCTCTCCTCTCAGCTTTTGACTTGCAGTTTGGCTTCTTTGACTCTGATCAGGGTCTTATTATGAACAGCCAGGTGCAGCAATTAGGTGGGAGGTGCAGAAATGTGGCATGGAGCTATTGCAAGAGGGTATAAATTGGTACAACTCTGCAAAAGTCAGTGGCACTACATCCAGTTACACCAACAGAACGTCTGGTCCCACGTGTGTTGGGAACAAAATGCGCTTAAACCCACTGAGTGCCTCAGCTGGCAGTAGACAAAATATCCTCAGGGACCCATCAGCCAGATTCGGTTTGCTAGCATGGAATGTTATAAGATGGTCATGGGGCAGGCGGGGGTGGGGGGAGAGGGCGTGAACTGTCAAACAAAGAATTAGAGACCATCTCTAATTTGGGCCCTTCTGGTTTTGCTGTGTGAATGGTCTGGCTTTCTCACCGGGTCCAAGTGATGGTTATGTACTGATGTCATAGCTGTCCTCGCAAGGTAATCCAGGGGTAGCTGCAGGGGTAGCTGCAGGTGTGGGTACCTACCTGGAATCTGGCTCTTACTCCCAGGGTCTTGTGTGGTACCTGGGGAGCTGGTGCCTCTTCCTTTGTCTACCCATCTATAATCAGTTAGGGTATGTCTACACTAGCCACCCTAGTTCGAACTAGGCTGGCTAATGTAGTCATTCAAACTTGCAAATGAAGCCCAGGATTTAAATTTCCCGGGCTTTATTTGCATGTTCCCGGGCACTGCCATTTTTAAATGCCCCGTAGTTCGAACTGCCTGCCTGCGGCTACACGCGGCACGGGCTACGTAGTTCGAATTAAAGCTCCTAATTCGAACTACCGTTACTCCTTATTGCAGGAGGAGTCAGGTGGAACACCAGCGAGTAAGCTGGACTTGTGAACAATCCTGGGGTCATTTTATTAGCAGCTTCACAGACCCTGGTGCCCACAGCAAGCTTTTGTGGCCCTCACTGCAGCTCCATCAGGTGTGACTGAAACCAGACTGAGCTCCTTGCGTTCTTCCATTTCGGCTGATTGTCCATGAGGCTGAGCCCCTGGGCCCAAGCCTCTTGCATTCATACTGCGGAGATACAAGCCGGCATAGGCTGCTGATGCTGCTGGTTACAGGATTACCTCCCAGAATGGCTCTGTCTTGCAAGAAGGGGCAAGGGCAGAAGGAAACAAGTTTCCTTCTTGGTAGCACACCCAGATGAATTCTGATGAGTACTCAGAGGCATACACTGGCTGTTTGCAGATTTCGTGGGATCAGGGGGCCTCTCTAGTGGAGTGTCTAGGCCTCCCTTCTCCAATGGATGATGCCCAGTCTCTGCCGCGAGAAGTCACGACTGTAATTCGTACTGTTCAATTTCTGTGTATAAAGGCCACAGAAGCCTGCTGAGGGTTGCTTTTTTATCATATCCATGGACCTGCTGATCTGGCCTAGGGGCCAAATTCAAATCATGTGTCTGTGTAATGCCGGCAGACCCTGTTCATCTGCAGGTGAAATTGAACCTGAGACCTTGGGAGGTTAGTGCAGGGGCCTCTACAGCTTGAGCTAAAAGCCAGCTGTCCCTCAGCTAAGGCTGGAGAGCAAACTCATAACGCTCTCTGTAAGTGGTCTCAGTGCCACTCAACGGGACAATGCACCACCCCCCGCAGGTGTGTGGGTAACCTCCGCTTTTTCCTTTTTCCTCCCCAGAATGCAAAATTGAGAACTGTGAGGCCTGTTTCAGCCGAAACTTTTGCACAAAATGCAAGGAAGGGTTGTACTTGCACAAAGGGAGATGTTATTCCACCTGCCCAGAAGGCTACTCTGCTGCCAACGGCACTATGGAGTGCAGCAATCCTGGTAAGTGGCAATAGAGCTGTTCTAGCTGTTGCTTTGTCTGCCGGCTCGGCGTTGTGCTGCTTGTCTGTGCGATGGCATCCTCAGACTTGCCTACTTTCCCTGCTGCTCCTCCAATGCAGCGATATCCCATTAACAGCAGAGATAGGCTGAGTGCCAGGGCGGGCTCTGCAGAAAATACATTCTAGCAGCCCAGAAGGTACATTCTCGCCCCTTCATCTATACAGCAGCTTCAGAAGACCTGGATGTACTCAAAGGGTTTGGCAACAGCCAAGAAATTACAGCTGACATTGTGGAAAAGCTTTCTCTTGCCTCGGAGAACATCACAGTAAATCTGGGGGGAGCTACAGTGTTTCCTCCCAGGAAAGAGAGTGTGTCTCGGTAACCTTTGCTGCCTGGAGACAGGTTTTCCCTGTAAGACATAACCTGGACTCCCCCTGTCCCCATACCTGCTGTGCTGAGCAACCCCAGGCAAACATTCACCAGTTCGTTGGTTTGTCTGCAGCTGCATATTTGCCTCTGCAAAAAAACAACAACCCCAAACAACAACAACAATCCAGGGCTTAACTCTGCAGAAAACTCTCTGCCTTTGGCAATTTGATTGTTGGTTGTAAAATGGGTGATCACTGATCGGCTTTCCATTTGTGGTTGCTTTAAAGCGTAGTTGTGGTTTGGAAGATGCCAATAGACCCTGCGGGTGGAAAAGGCTAGCTGCAGGAGCATTCCGATGAGGAAAAGTACAGCCAGACACTCAACCCTCTGGAGGAGTGCAAAGCCTTCTGGCACAATCCAGCACACTGTCCCAGTTTATTGTTTGTTAGTTGCTTCTCAGAAAACACCTGCTTCTGAGACTCATGACCTAAATGATGGACTCCAAGATAAAATAGGCCTCAGGAAGGAGCAAGGGAAACTCCTGAATAAAGGCCCAGAGCTGGGGTGCAGTGAGTGACAAAGACCCCAAATGAGCACACACAAAAATTATCCAGGCAGGAAACTTAAACAGCAACTGGCTCCCCTCCCTTCACGCAAAAGGCTCTTCCTATGACCTCGCTCCCGCCAGAGGAATAAATAATGTTGGGCAGTGACAATGAGGGAGCATCACGTCTGAGTGGGGGGATGTGAAGGGAGCTTAAGTCTGAGAGCACAGCCACTGCTGCTCAGCTGCTGGATCCCTAGGTCTGGCTGCGGCAGCCACCAGAGCACCAGGGCTGGAGCATCCAGAGTCCCGCACCCAGGTGGCCAGTCTCTTACCAGTGCACTGCCCTGGGATGCACCGGCTTACTTTCATCTTTGGAAAAATTTAAAAAACAATGAATAGTCTAGCAGCACCTTAAAGACTAACAAAACATGGAGATGGTATCATGAGCTTTCATGGGTACAGATCCAAGAATAAATAAGGGAAGGCAGGGGGAAAAAAAAGGGGGGAGGAAAAAAAGAGAAAAAATAGTGAATTGGATTGTTCACTTTACAAGTGGCTGATAAGAACAATTTGCACCTCTATTCGTGCCCATTGTTTGTTTGGTTGGTTAAGTCATTAGGATGTGGAAGGCAGTGTGTGAGCCAGCGGATATCTTTATTCATTCCTCTCTGATAAGAATCAAACTTGTAAATGAAGTTAAGTTCCAACCTTTCCTTGTGTATTTGGCTTGTGGAATTGGCCTGAAACAACACTGTGACTTTGAGATCCATTAATGAGTGCCTGGGCAGGTTACAGTGTTCTCCAACAGGTTTCTGTGTGTTGCCTTTTCCAATATCTGATTTATGTCCATTAATTCTTTCCCATAGAGACTGTCCAGTTTGTCCAATATATATAGCAGTGAGGCATTGCTGGCATTTGATGGCATAGATCACATTAGTGGATGTGAAGTTAAATGAGCCTCTGATATGGTGGCTGATGTAGTCGGGTGCAGTGATGAAATCACTTGTGTAGATGTGAGGACAGAGTTGGCACCGGGGCTGATCGCAGGGGTGGGTTCTTGGATGATTATGATGTTGGTGTGCTGCTTGGTTTCTGGAAAGAAATGTTTGAGATTAGGGGGCTGTCTGTAGAGAGGATTGGACTTTCCCTCAAGGCCTGTGAGAGTGAGGGGTCATTTTCCAGGATAGGTTGTAGATTGTTGGTAATGTGCTGGAGGGTTTAAGTTGTGGGCTATAGGTGATGACAAGTGGAATTCTGTTGTTTTCCTTTTCCCCTAAGGCCTGTGAGAGTGGGGGGTCATTTTCCAGGATAGAATTGCACAGGGATTTCAACAACTTCCACCGCACTATCAATCTCAGCCTGGATCGGTCCACATGAGAGGTCTGCTTCCTTGACACTACAGTACAATTACATAACAAACACATTTCCACCACTTTATAATGGAAACTTACTGACCGCTACACTTACCTTCATGCCTCTAGCTTCCATCCCAGACATTTCTCAATCTATTGTTTACAGACAAGTCCTAAGATACAACTGGATTTGCTCCACCTACAGACAAACACCTACAGAACCTATATAAAACATTCTTAAAACTAAACTAACCACCCGGAAAAGTGAAAAAACAGATCGAGAGAGCCAGAAGAGCACGCAGACATGAACTACTTCAAGACAGGCCAAGAAGAGAAAACAACAGAATTCCACTTGTCATCACCTATAGCCCACAACTTAAACCCTCCAGCACATTACCAACAATCTACAACCTATCCTGGAAAATGACCCCTCACTCTCACAGGCCTTGAGGGAAAGTCCAATCCTCTCTACAGACAGCCCCCTAATCTCAAACATTTCTTTCCAGAAACCAAGCAGCACACCAACATCATAATCATCTAAGAACTCTCCCCTACGATCAGCCCTGGTGCCAACTCTGTCCACACATCTACACAAGTGATTTCATCACTGGACCCGACTACATAAGCGACCATATCAGAGGCTCATTTAACTTCACATTCACTAATGTGATTTATGCCATCAAATACCAGCAATGCCCGTCTGCCATGTATACTGGACAAACTGGACAGTCTCTACAGGAAATAATTAATGGACACAAATCAGATATCAGAACAGGCAACATACAGAAATCCATTGGAGAACATTTTAACCTACCTGGGCACTCATTAATGGATCTCAAAGTCACAGTGTTGTTTCAGGCCAATTCCACAAGCCAAATACACAATCATAGAATAATAGGACTGGAAGGGACCTCAAGAGGTCATCGAGTCCAGCCCCCCGCCCTCAAGGCAGGATCAAGCTCTGTCTACACCATCCCTGACAGATGTCTATCTAACCTGTTCTTAAATATCTCCAGAGAGGGAGATTCCACCACCTCCCTTGGCAATTTATTCCAATATTTGACCACCCTGACAGTTAGGAATTTTTTCCTAATGTCCAATCTAAACCTCCCCTGCTGCACTTTAAGCCCATTACTCCTTGTCCTGTCCTCAGAAACCAAGAGGAACAAATTTTCTCCTTCCTCCTTGTGACACCCTTTTAGATATTTGAAAACCGCTATCATGTCCCCCCTTAATCTTCTTTTTTCCAAACTAAACAAGCCCAGTTCATGAAGCCTGGCTTCATAGGTCATGTTCTCTAAACCTTTAATCATTCTTGTTGCTCTTCTCTGTACCCTTTCCAATTTCTCCACATCTTTCTTGAAATGTGGCGCCCAGAACTGGACACAGTACTCCAGCTGAGGCCTAACTAGTGCAGAGTAGAGCGGCAGAATGACTTCACGAGTTTTGCTTACAACACACCTGTTGATACAACCTAGAATCATATTTGCTTTTTTTGCAACAGCATCACACTGTTGACTCATATTCAACTTGTGGTCCACTATGACCCCTAGATCCCTTTCTGCCATGCTCCTTCCTAGACAGTCGCTTCCCATCTTGTATGTATGGAACTGATTGTTCCTTCCTAAGTGGAGCACTTTGCATTTCTCTTTATTAAACCTCATCCTGTTTACCTCTGACCATTTCTCTAACTTGCTAAGGTCATTTTGAATTATGTCCCTATCCTCCAAAGAAGTTGCAACCCCACCCAGTTTGGTATCATCTGCAAACTTAATAAGCGTACTCTCTATCCCAATATCTACATCATTGATGAAGATGTTGAACAGTATGGGTCCCAAAACAGACCCTTGAGGAACTCCACTTGTTATCCCTTTCCAGCAGGATTTAGAACCGTTAACAACAACTCTCTGACTACGGTTATCCAGCCAATTATGCACCCACCTTATCGTGGCCCTATCTAAGTTATATTTGCCTAGTTTATCAATAAGAATATCATGCGAGACCGTATCAAATGCCTTACTAAAGTCTAGGTATATGACATCCACCGCTTCTCCCTTATCCACAAGGCTCGTTATCTTATCAAAGAAAGCTATCAGATTAGTTTGGCATGACTTGTTCTTCACAAACCCATGCTGGCTATTCCCTATCACTTTATTACCTTCCAAGTGTTTGCATATGATTTCCTTAATTACCTGCTCCATTATCTTCCCTGGGACAGACGTTAAACTGACCGGTCTGTAGTTTCCTGGGTTGTTCTTATTCCCCTTTTTATAGATGGGCACAATATTTGCCCTTTTCCAGTCTTCTGGAATCTCCCCTGTCTGCCATGATTTTTCAAAGATCATAGCTAAAGGCTCAGATACCTCCTCTATCAGCTCCTTGAGTATCCTGGGATGCATTTCATCAGGACCTGGTGACTTGCTGACATCTAACTTTCCTAAGTGATTTTTAACTTGTTCTTTGTGTATCCTATCTTCTAAACTTACCCTCTCTCTGCTTGTATTCACTACGTTAGGCACACCTCCAGACTTCTCGGTGAAGACCGAAACAAAGAAGTCATTGAGCATCTCCGCCATTTCCAAGTTCCCTGTTACTGCTTCTCCCTCCTCGCTAAGCAGTGGGCCTACCCTGTCCTTGGTCTTCCTCTTGCTTTTAATGTATTTATAAAAGGTCTTCTTGTTTCCCTTTATGCCTGTAGCTAGTTTGATCTCATTTTGTGCCTTTGCCTTTCTAATCTTGCCCCTGCATTCCCGTGTTGCTTGCCTATATTCATCCTTTGTTAGTTGTCCTAGTTTCCATTTTTTATATGACTCCTTTTTTATTTTGAGATCATGCAAGATCTCCTTGTTAAGCCAAGCTGGTCTTTTGCCATATTTTCTATCTTTCCTACACAGCGGAATTGTTTGCTTTTGGGCCCTTAACAACGTCCCTTTGAAATACTTCCAACTCTCCTCAGTTGTTTTTCCCTTCAGTCTTGCTTCCCATGGGACCTTACCTACAAGTTCTCTGAGCTTATCAAAATCTGCCTTCCTGAAATCCATTACCTCAATTGTGCTGGTCTCCCTTCTACCTTTCCTTAAGATCATGAACTCTATTATTTCGTGATCACTGTCCCCTATACTGTCTTCCACTTTCAAGTTCTCAACTAGTTCCTCCCTATTTGTTAAAACCAAATCCAGAACAGCTTCTCCTCTGGTAGCTTTTTCAACCTTCTGAAACAGAAAGTTGTCTCCAATGCAGTCCAGAAACTTATTGGATAGCCTGTGCCTCGCTGTGTTAGTTTCCCAACATATGTCTGGATAGTTGAAGTCCCCCATCACCACCAAATCTTGGGCTTTGGATAGTTTTGTTAATTGTTTAAAAAAGGCCTCATCCACCTCTTCCACCTGGCTAGGTGGCCTGTAGTAGACTCCTAGCATGATATCACCCTCGTTTTTTACCCCTTTTAGCTTAACCCAGAGACTCTCTACACAGCTATCTCCTACGTTCATCTCCACTTCAGTCCAAGTGTGTACATTTTTAATATACAAGGCAACCCCTCCTCCCTTTTTTCCCTGTCTGTCCTTCCTGAGCAAGCCGTACCCTTCCATACCAACATTCCAATCATGTGTCCCATCCCACCAGGTTTCTGTAATACCAATGATATCATAGTTGTATTTATTGGTTAGCAATTCCAGTTCTTCCTGCTTATTACCCATACTTCTCGCATTTGTATATAGGCATCTAAGATACTGATTTGATCTTGCCTCCCTGTTGTGCCCTGACCCTCCTTTCTCCTTCCCATTATAGGCCGTAGTCCCCCCCATTTCCAACCCATCTCCCAGTCCCGCACATGCAGCACTTACCTGTGGGCTTTGTTCACCTGCCCCCAACAAACCTAGTTTAAAGCCCTCCTCACAAGATTAGCCAGTCTGTGTCCAGGAATGAATAAAGATACCCTTCCACATACTAATGACTTAACCAACCAACCAACCAATGGGCACATATAGAGGTGCAAATTGTTCTTATCAGCCACTTGTTACTAGAACAATCCAATTCACTATTTTTTCTCTTTTTTTTTTCCTCCCCTACTCCCCTCTTACCACCCCCGGCCTTCCCTTATTTATTCTTGGATCTAGACTTCTAATACTCCAGTCATCTGAAGAAGTGGGTTTTGCCCATGAAAGCTCATGATACCATCTACATGTTTTGTTAGTCTTTAAGGTGCTGCTAGACTATTCGTTGTTTTTTAAGTTTTTCCAATTACAGACTAACTCTGCTACCCCTCTGAAGCTTTTTCATCTTTGGGTTAGGCAGACATCAAAAAGTCTAGACCCCCCTCCCCTCCCCTTTTTGGTCTCCACCTTCACAAGGGTGAGGAAACAGGTTGCAGTGACCCACGTCTGGGGTTGCGGAAAGGAAAAGCCCACATGAGCATGTATCCAAACCAAGAAGGGACTTTTGCTCAGAGAGGCAGATGTGACGCACTCTGAACAGACTGAGTACAGGCTCAGCATGTTCCATAGGAGGCTTCCCTTCCCTGGCTGGGCCTCCGGGACCCTGGTGGAGCAGAGAACTGGCATGGGGGATCGCTGTCCCCTAGGGAGTGATGCATTGAGCCTTTGGGCTGATGCCAGGTGCAGTCACAGCCTTCTCCCTAGGCTTGTTAAAGTTCCTGCCCTTGAACAGCACAGTCCTTTGTGGTGCAGCCCAGAGCTGACATTTGGACCCCGAGCCGCTCGGAACGGGCCCAGAAAATTCCCCTCACAAGAGATTTTTCTGGTGTCATAGACTCTGCCCTAGCGCTCTGGCTGGGGTGGACAGCATGGGGACTATTGCATCTCGCCCCCACACATATGTGTGATCTCTCAAAGGGAGACAGACGTCGGGCTGGGATGGCAGGCAGGCGGTGGCACGAGGGAGGGAAGGACTCCAAGGATGTGTCAGGAGCCCTGGGGAAAGTGGAGTTCCCTCTTGACTCTCTTGTTGTCTGGCAGCACAATGTGAAATGAGCGAGTGGGGTCCCTGGGGCCCGTGCTCCAAGAAAAGGAAGCTGTGTGGTTTCAAGAAGGGCAATGAAGAGCGATCGCGGAAGGTACTGCTGGCTCCCTCTGGAGATGTGTCTGTGTGTCCTGCCACCACCGAGGTCCGGAAATGCACAGTGCAGAAGAACCAGTGCCCTGAAGGTGAGCTGATGCCAGGGCATTCACCCTCTCCCATTGGGGACCCATTCTGTTTGCTTGGGTTGAAAATTTAGTTTAACTCTAGCTGAAACAAAAGACAGGACTATGTAGCACTTTAAAGACTAACAAGATGGTTTATTAGGTGATGAGCTTTCGTGGGCCAGACCCACTTCCTCAGATCAATATGTGGAAGAAAATTGGCACAACCATGTATACCAAAGTGATACAATCAAAAAAATGAACACATGTGAAATTGACAAATCATATGCGTTCATTTTTTTTATTGTATCACTTTGGTATATATGGTTGTGCCAGTTTTCTTCCACATATTGATCTGAGGAAGTGGGTCTGGCCCACGAAAGCTCATCATCTAATAAACCATCTTGTTAGTCTTTAAAGTGCTACATTGTTGTATCCTTTGGTATATATGGTTGTGACTACTTTCTTCCACTATTTGATCTGAGGAAGTGGGTCTGGCCCACGAAAGCTCATCATCTAATAAACCATCTTGTTAGTCTTTAAAGTGCTACATAGTCCTGTCTTTTGTTTCAGCAAGACCAGACTAACATGGCTGCATCTCTATCACTAGTTTAACTCTAGGATGTAAGAAATAAGGCCCTGTCAGGAACCTGACAGGCGTAGTCAAGACCAAGGGTCAGAGCGGGGCAAACCTGGGGCTAGGAGTAGCAGAGAAGTTCGCAGTCAGGTTCCAGGCCAGTGTTGATACTGAGGGTCAGAACCTGGTTTCAGGCTTCAAGTGAGGATGAAAAGTCCAAATCAAGCCAAAGGCAAAACCAGGCATACAGGAGCAAGGGGCAAGGATTGTCATGGAAGCTACCAGAGATCAGTGTTCCCTCTATTGTTTTTCCATCCATGTGCAGAATAAATTTTGTTGTGTGCACAGAGGCAGATGTACACCAGCAGCATAAATACATGCTGCCAGCTGTGGGTGACTGTGGGTGCTCTGCTTGGCATTTGAATCTCCCCTGGGTGGCTGCCCAAGCCCACAGTTTACAGCTGTGGTGGGCAACCTTTGGCCCAATGGCCACATGCAGCCCATTGGATTTCTGTGTATGGCCCACAGGATACTTTGTTTACCATTGCCCATGCACAGGGTTGCCACACAGGGTGTGTGGATTGCATTCACCACTGGGAGAGCCGTACACTCCCTCTGCAGCCAATCAAAGCACTGCTACAGGTCAATCGGCACTCCTTGCAAATTCTCCGTACGCAAGAGCAGAGAGCAAAACTACCGTATTGAGAGAGCCCATGACAATCTTGCGGCCCGCCGAGATGATGGAGAGCCACTCATGCGGCCCACTCACTAGACTAGATTGCCCTTCACCGGCTTACAGGAAACACTGCCAGAGATCTATGGTGTAACCTGGACTTCCTGGAATGCTCATTGGGTTTATATAGAGCAGGGAATCAATCAGGAACCATGAGGTTGCCACCTGTCAGACCCCTTAAGGTGGGACTTCCCATGGTCTCTGTCCTCTGTGGGTCATGAGTAATGGAGTGCAGGCTGGTGCTGGTTGGAGATGCCTCACGGCCTGGCAGCTCTGAGTCTAGGGCTGAGACCCCCTGGGCCTTACAGCCCCCAAATAAGCCTTGCTCTGTGCTGCACCTCTGCAGGACAGACACATCTGCACTGCCTGATTCTCTTAGCCACAACACAAACTGGCATGTGAGCAGCTGCCCTGTGCTTCATGCCTTGCTCTTTACAGTGCGTTTCCAGCGTGACTTTCATAGGAATGCAGCCCTGCCAAAAGCATGTGGCGTGCACCATGACAGCTAGAAAGAACACTTGACCGTAAAACCAGAATGAGCCACTGAGTGGTTAGTTTCTAATAGGATCAAGCTTTAAAAGTCGTCCCTGGACACTGCTTGCTGTCTCTGCTGTATGTTGGTATTCGTTGTTTGTTAGCTTTGTCAGGGAAAAACGAGATCGTGACAAGGCAGATCGGCAGAGGGTGGGAGGGCGGAGCCAACATCCAATGTTGGGGTATTCGTTCACTCTAGCCCACCTTTGCAGACAGTTTGCTTGCAGTTCCCAGTGGATTCCCGTTCTCTGAACAGGAAGATGTTTCCTTCTTGTCACTGCAAACTACCGTTCACCTTCACTCTGCTGGAAATGTGGAGGCCGGTGGCTTGCTCATTCCCCTTGTGGTTGCACTAGGATGCAGGTGTGGTGGCTGCTTTTGGGGTGCCCAGTTCTCAATTGCATCTAAGTGCATGCAGAAGACAATAAGGAACAGTGGGGAAAAGGCAAATGTTGAGTGTAGTGGCTCTCAAATGCACAGACTGTATTTCCAGCCATGCTAAGGAGCCAGGCTGGAAGCCCCAGGAAACGCAGGTTCTGAGTGCCCTGCCAGTGATGGAAAATTACAATCTCAAATTCACATTTCAGTCATCTCACCCCTTCTGTGAACATCAATAATACCAAACTCCTAGAAGCGCACTTCAGCCACCCTGACTCCTCAGAGAGAGGAGAAACACAGGCCTGCAGTGGGCCGGGATGGTCACCCATGGAAGCTGTTTTAGAGCAGGTGTGAGAGGCCTGGAGCTGTACAGAGAAGAGTTTGCCAGCACGTCCTCTGCTTTATACCAGGAGGCTCCAGCATCCACAACTCTATGATCAGTTGTGGCACTACGTCATGGGGAGAAAGATGCTCTCAGCTGGGCCAGGCCCAGGCCATTCCACTGACAAGTATTAAACATCTTCCTACTGTACTTTGAGTCACGTTAGTGAGCCAGCGTGCCAACAGTCCCAGAGCAATGGCAGGGCTCACTAACCAGCCGTGCCAGCAGTCCCTGACCAATCATAGACTCAGAGGGCTGGAAGAGATCTCAGGAGGTCACTGAGTCCAGTCCCCTGGCAAAAGCAGGACCAACCCCAACTAAATCATTCCAGCCAGGGCTTTGTCAAGCCAGGATTTAAAACCAGATTCCACCCCCTCCCTAGGGAACCCATCCCAGTGCTTTACCACCCTCCTAGGGAAATAGTTTTTCCTAATATCCAACCTAAACTTCCCCCACCCACTAGCAGTGCTCACTAGACAGCTAGGCCAGCGTGCCGGCAGGCCCTGTGAAATGGCAGTGCTCACTAGCCAGCAGGCCAGCGGGCCAGTGGCCAGGAGGCAATGGCAGCACTCAGCTCTGAGATGAGTCAGCCTTCCATTCGATAGTCTCATTGTTGCTCCTTTGCTTGGTTTCAGGGAAAAGGAAGCGAAAGGAAGAGCAAGAAAAGCGAGATAACATGAATGGAAACAGAAACCAGAAAGACACCAAAGAGGCCAAATCTGGCACCAAGAAAAGGAAAAGCCAGCAGAGAGGGACTGTGGTCCCCATGACTCTTGCTAGCCCTGCCCAATAGCTGCCCCTTTGTAGTCACATGATGGCAAGAGTACATTGCTGCTATGTATATGAAAGCTTTATGGAACCAGAGCACTGCTACATAACAGACACATTCAGACAGACAGAACCAACCCCCACTGCCACACACAAAGACGGAGACCACACACAAATGCAACATAGGACCGTAAAGTGCAAACCTCTAAGAAGAGGAGTAAGAAAATATAAGAGATGAAGTTTAAATGCTAAGGAGTTTACTGTGGAAACTGGGGAGAAAGTATGAACCAGACTGGAAGGCAGTGGTGCCAATATTCCTGATATAATGACTCAAATAGAAGTCAGCCATGTAAACCCCAGCATAACACAGCTTCAGCCAGAGACTAGAACTGATTTGCTATTGTTCAGAATCACAGGATCTGGAATCGCGCAAAGATAGTGGCCTGTTTCTATTCCCCCTTCCTTTGTTCTAAGCTGTATGAGAATATATGTTAAACCTTTGTGAGAAGAGGTCAGAGATGTCTGCCCTGAAATGGCTTCAAAAATGTATTTCAAAATTAAAAAAAAAAGTCCAACATAATGACCTCCAAATTTCCAATTGTGTGGTTCATGGCTCAGCCCCCAAAGAGGCTGGTGTCCCAATGGGGGAGGGACTCGCTTGCAGAAGGAAAACTCATAAGAGCTTTCAGAAAATGTAGCCAGCTGCATCCTAGCCACAAATCAGTCATCATTCACTTTTACAATCCCTGTCCATGTCCATTAAGCCCCATGGGGAGTTTCCCATCATGCAGCAAGTTGAGAAATAGAGGTGACAGCAAACCGCAAATTGGTTTGATGTTGTGATTCTGCTGATAGTCACAGTGCGAAGGATTGTGTGCTGAACTGAGGAAGGAAAAAGCCATGTAGCCATATGCAGAGCTTTTAAATCCATTCAAAAGCCATTAATCTGCATGTCGCTAGTTGGGCTGGCTTAGAATTAACACCAGCGCTCTCTGGATCTCCCCACTTAGCAAAGATTTAATCCCCCGGGTGACATTACTCCTGTGCAGCACAAGGCCTGTGGCCTGCAGGCCTTCCAAGAGACTGAAGTAGCACACGTATTTTTGGCAGCCTTCAAAGTGTGCATCTCTTGCTGCACATATTTGCAGAGGTCACATAGAGCCACTTGATCTGACTGGCTGCATTTCCTCACATGCCCGTTGTGTTGGCTGGCTGGGAAGCATGCTTGTTGTATTTCAGCAAACAAAAGTCCATGCCGTTGCAATACTAGGAAAAGCTCCTGGAATTCTCTTTGGGGCCTGCCTGCTCTGGGGCAGAGTTGGCAGGGTTCAGAATGTGGGAGCTGCACAGCTGGTCCAGTGCCAGAGCTGTGCCAAGCTCTCCGGGCCTGCCGTGCTGACAGCAAGGCCTTTGGGCCCGTCATCCACTTTGTGCTTAAGTAAACAAGCAGCCATTATATCTTTTAGAGGGGATTCCATTTCAGCACATTGATAAATGAGCAGCATACCAGGCAGAGAGCAAGAGGGAGGTTCTCAAAACTCATCTTTTCAACTGTTTATAGATCCTGTTTAGATAAATTCTGGAGGAGACCTCCCCAGTTGAAAGACGGGGTCTCACTTTATTTTCTATTGTCAGCAAGCTGTGAGCTAAGTCATCTGTTTGTATTGAGGCTTTGTACCTAACATGAACCTTTTCCCCTCCAGTTGTTCAGCTGCAATATCCAGTAACCTTTTCAGGAGTCTCACTTGGCTACTTTCTAGAACTGTGCAAATCCATGGATAGCTGCTTTATATCCGAGGCTATCCGCATCCCTGGACGTAAATGTGGATATCTGCAGCTCATTTTGTGGCTGCAGATACAAATTTTGTATCTATAATCCTGCAATTTATCTACTTTATATGTGCAGGTCTCTGTATCCACAAACGTAAATGCCGATATTAGCAGCTCATTTTTGAAGAAATGGAAGCAGCTGCAGAGACAAATTGTGTATCTGGAGCCCTGCAAATTTGCAGATAGCTGTTTTATATCTGGGGGTATCTATATCCATGGATGTGGATAGGGATATCCGCGGCTCATTTTTACGGATATGGATACAGATATAAATTTCATATCTGTGCAGGGTGTTATTAATTTCCATCACCATTCCTGGGGCCTGAAAAGAAGAGAGAGAGGGCATTAGTGGAGTTTTATATTCCTGACTGGTACCATAAAGGATTCCCTAAATAATATCCGATATTAGCATCCATATTTAAAAATTAAACAGCACATCAAGGTAAATCAGCCAAGCACAAGTGGAGCTGCAGCATTTTTTATTTGTTGTTGTCATGTTTGTCGGTTACTTGTTATTTCAGAGAACTGTGCAGGGACTTAGGCAACACTTCAGTTCCACCTCAGCCCCATTTTGATGTCTTAAATGGGACTTAGGTGAATAGTCCTTGTGCTAATCCTCTGCCAGGGAGGATTTTCACTTCAAATTTGCTAACTTGAAGTGGGTCCCCCTGTCATTACCAAGGGCTTTTGACACAATTTTCCAATCCTCTCCACTGGGTTGTTTTGGAAATTAAAGCAGCAATACCTTCAAAATAGATGTTTGACACTCAGAACTTTCTACTCCAATGTCATCCAGCTCTTTCTGCTTCATAGCTAGTGCAGGGAGGGTTCACATATCAGAGTCAGGTGTGTCTAAGCAGCTTCAACACTAAAGTTTTGTTTGGATCCACTTAAAGCTAGTCCAGACTTTTCAATTGCCTTTTTTTTCTCCGAAAACTTTGCAAAAGTATTTCATTTTGTGAAATTGTCTGGGTTTTTGTTTCTTCTTTCTCCTTATTTCCCTTTTTCAACAGCAAAATGAGAGAACCAATGGAAAAACACAAAACAAAAGCGTTGGATTTTGTAATTTTTCAATGAAAATGTGATTATTTAAAATCCATTCTTTTAGAAAATTTTGACTGGAGATTTTTTCAAAATTTTTAAAAACATGTTCATGACTTTTTTCTGATTTGTGGGTGTTTATTTCCACCTCCAGCTGATTGTGTTTGGGGATTTAAAAGCACATTGCTTTTAGCCAACATGTTTCCAAGAAGAGGAGTAATGATTGAGCGGTGAGACTGGTCCCAATTTTGGAATTTATTAGAAGGGCTTCATTCTTCTCAGTTCAGTTGCATGTTGCACGCTTTCTTTCCTTTTACAACAAAACATCTAGGCCGTGTCCAGACTCAGGGGTTTTTTCGGGAAAGGTAGCCTTTTCCCGAAAAAACTTCCCCTGCGTCCAGACTCAAGCCGCGTTCTTTCGAAATTATTTCGAAAGAATGCGGCTTTTCTTTCGATGGCGGTAAACCTTGTTTCACGAGGAAGAACGCCTTCTTTCGAAAGTTCCTCTTTCGAAAGAAGGCGTTCTACAATGTAAAGAGGCCGTCTTCGAAAGAGAGCATCCAGACTCGCTGGGTGCTCTCTTTCGAAAAAGCGGATTTCCTCTATCGAAAGATCCGCCTGCTGTCTAGACGCGATCTTTCGAAAGAGCCTCTTTCGAAAGAAGCCTGCAGTCTAGACATAGCCCTACTGTGGTGTTCTCTATCTGCCATCCCCTAAAAACATGTTTTAGCAAGTTTGGGTGCTGAGAATTTTTGTTCACTGTATTGTTCACAAAAATCAGTGTCTTAAACTAGTGGTTCAAAAATATATACAGAATGAAGAACAATGTCTCTTATATGCAGCAGTTTTTTCTCCACGATTCCAGATAGATTCAGGAATGGCTAGCTGGAGGAGTGTTTTGTGCAATTCAGATATAGATTAGATTAGATTAGATAGAATCATGGACATTCTTGGACGCTCCCGTGGACAGAGATATGTTTGTTTATATTAGTGAAACAAAAACATTTTAAATCACATTTCAATTCAGTGGACAGATTACTTTTCAAAATCTGCATACAGCTTCCAGATTTTTCCGCTTTGCATTTGGGTAATTTTTCCCAGTTCTGCTACAACTGAAACAAAGGAAAAGGAACAGAATATCATCACTCTACAACCCTCAGTTTTGAAATTGTTTAATTTTTATCTCATTTGCTGAGATTTAGGTGCCGAAACAGACTTATCTCACTGAACACAGACTGGCTGTAAGTATTATGCTTTCACCCTTTGTGTTTAATGTAATTCTACATTTTCACCTGCCACAGCTAGGTTTAAAATGTGCATATACCAATTCTTCAAATAATAATTTACTAGCCTTTTACTCCCATAGAAATGGAGAGAATGTATACATGTTTTAGTGCATGTTTACATTAAAATGATGTTTCACTCTGAAGTCCTGGCTTTGATTAAAGGAAGGCTATTCGCATGGTGCACTGGGTGCTCTTGGATGCTGTTATCTGGGTTATATTTTCAAAGGAGATCTGAAGGAAGATTGGGTATATATTGACAGATTCTATTAAATCAATGGACCCCACAGAATGGGGCAGTAAACTGAACACTTTATTTCTTAAAAAATCTCCATTTAAATGACAAAAATCCCAACTTTATACAACCAGTCACACCAAATAAATCATTCTGATGGTATTTATATACAGGATAATATAGTGTGCCCAGTTAAATACTGCACTACCACCTTGCCAAGACCCCAGTCATATCTGAAGAGCAGCAGAGCTCTGTTGAGAACAAATAGTGGAGTGTGGGGATTGTAGGTAGATTATATAGAATTATTTACAACTAGTGCAAAGCAGATTGGCTAGATTCTTGGGTGTCATCCATCACACATGAAAAAATTGTATGCAAAATCATGGGATGTGGACTGCTAGAAGGTAAAATGCAGCATGTGATATGCATAGCTTTCTGGAGAATAAATCACATTTTATGCCTAATAAATTTAGGTCACAGAAGCTTGCTGTCTTACTTTATTTTTCAGAAGGAATATTTATGTGTAAACACTTTATATTCCAAATTCCTAACCATAGCCGGCCCACAACATTTTGGCACCTGAGGCGGGGAGCCCCCATGCCCCTTCACTTGGGCCAAAACTTTGAAAGGTCTCTTGTGCCCTCCTTCCTTCAGCACAGCTACTCCACCATCTCTGTGCATCTAGAGCAGAGAGAATAAATCTGCACCAGCAGCAGACACAATTTTCTACACCCTGGGTCCTAGTGGTGCCCCCTCCTCCCTGTCTGGCACCTGAGGCGGCCGCTTCAATTTGCCTCAGGATAGGTCTGGCCCTGTTCCTAATGAATACTTTATACATAAGACAGACATCACGGGCCTGATTCACAATGCTGCTGTAACTCCACAGTCTTCAATGGAATGATACAGAGGTAGTCAGGCCTTATAAATCTAAGTGACCTGCAGGAGGTTGAGTCTGACATAAGCCCTGCTTTCATAGGATTCAATCCTGCAAGGTATTGAGCAGCCCCAGGTGCCATTAAAGTCAGTCTGCTCATGCTCTTCATTCTCCCTATCTTCTTACCATCATCTCCTTTTTTCCCTCTTCTTCCTCCTGCTCTCTTTTCTTTGCTGTTTTCAGTTGCAGCTGAGGGAAGGGAAAATCAAAGGCAGTGAGATCTAGGGTCTTTCTTATTTCTCACTTAAGAAGTCACCAAACCTCCCTGTTGATCAGAACTAAGTTTAAAATAATTTCCCCTTGGTTTCTGAAACAAAAACTTGCTCCAATACATTCCAAGAACCTGTTGGAAATTCTGTTATTTGCCATATTACTTTTCCAACAGATGCCTGGGTAGTTAAAAGTCCCCCATACCTGCCAAGTCTTGTATTTTGAATATTTCTGTTATTTATTTCTAGCTCCTCTTCCTAATTTCATGTACTATAGTAGAACCCCCCTATCTAGATATCACTCATATTTGTTACCTCTATTAGCTTTATTCAGGGACTAGTCTGCCTCTCACCTCCTTCTGGACCTC